TAGAGATTTGCTAAAATCCCCCTTATAAATGAAGGCACTGCTACCTTTTATGTCCTTTTCCTTCTGCCCCAGGCCTCTTCCGCCTCCGGTATCTTGAAACATGGCAGCCAAACGAGTGCTCTTGAATCTGCAGTTAAGATGTTTGTCACCTTTTTTCTGTGTTGGCTGATAAAAATTGATGCATGATTGAAAGCTTCTGTGCTCTGAGACCAACCGAAGGTGGCCTCATAAAGATTTACCAGCTGATCTGTTTTATATTTCACGCGACAGGGGCTGCAGCAACTTCACCCTCTGGAAGAGATCAAGGACTGACAGAGGGCTGCTCTGTGGCCAGGCAGCTGCCCCTTTCGGTGCCGGGGAATTCACTTGGAAGGCAATGGGGCTGGGGAGCCCATGGCGGGTTTAAGGGAGAAGCCGGCCTTGACGCTCTTCCTCCACGAGGGCCTCTGCCGGGTTCCCCAATGGGGACCTCCTTCCCTGCCGGTCCCACAGGAGCCCCCCATCCCTCCCTCCCACAAGGGATGGTGCGGTGGCCCACTCACGGCCAAAGGGTTGGCAGAGGGGCGACTCGTGCACAGTCATCTTCCTCTTTGCAGGGAGACAACCGCAAGCCGTTTTGCTGATCCAGGCCTGGCAGGATTCTTCCTGGCTGGCAGCCAAACATCTGGAGTGGGACCCATTTCCGGGAAGGAGGCTGGGCCATTTTTAAGAGAGGAAGGCAGCGAAAAAGAGAAGCAGAGTTTGCACTGGTCTGGGTGCAATGAGTGCAAGAATCATGGCCTCAGAGGTCCCCAGACTGGGGTGGGGGGGGAGAATATAACCCAGCACCTGGTCTCTCATCGGGATTGTCCCAAGGTGCTTAGCTGGATATGTGTGCAGGGGGCCCCTCCCCCACCCAGCCCGCCTGGGTAGCAAATTCTAAGTCGCTCTTTCACAGAGAAGCCTGCATTGGCCCAAAGGGAGCACTCCTGCTTGTGCCGACCTGCGCTTCTCATTGCCCAGAAAGGTGCCAGGAAGGGAAATCTGGGTGAGCCTCTCAGGATGCAGGAGGAGGCTCCCTGCCAGGGTATTCCAGGTGCCCAGCAAACTACAAATCCCAAGATCCGCCCGAAAGCGAGGCCAAAGGGGTGGCCGAAGAATGTGGTGTTGGTTGGGGTCCTTCAAGGTGACTCTTATTTCCTTGTCGCAACAGCTGCTCTGCTTGGCAAGGCGGCCATGGGCCCAGATCCGTAACCCACCACCCTCCCTCCCTCCCAGCAAATCTGAGCAGGTGCCTGGAAGGGCAGAGTGTTGGGCTCTCCTGTCTCATGAGGACTCGGCTTCTATGGGCACTTTTACAACATCAGCTGCAGGTGGTCTCACCAGG